AGGGGGAGGGGGAGGAGGCGGCACAAGGGAGGTAGGTTGCTTTAAAACAGTCACAGATTCTCCAGCACTTTGATCAAAAGGTGGAGACTAAACTTCCTTGTGGATGTGTCCAGGATTAGTAACTCACTTCTAATGAACACAATGAATCCGCTTGATATGTGACCTATGACTAAAGACATAAAAGATGCTGCCTTGCCCTGTGTAGGCTGGTTCTCTCTGTGAAGGAGCCCTGGCCTTGTGAGTCAAGCAGTTCTGTGGAGAGGTTCATGTGGTTGGGAACTGACCTGCTGGGAAGTCAGGTGAGTGAGCCACCTTGGAGGTGCCTTAAACTGCAGCACCAGTCCAAAAGCACACTGGGAACCACAGGTTACAGGTTGGCCTCCCCTGAAATCCCAGCTCATAGGAACATCTTTTTTTTTTTTGGTCTTTTTGAGACAGGGTCTCCTTGTAGCCCCAGCTGTCATGGAACTCAGTATGTAGACCAGGCTGCCCTTGAACTCACAGAGATCCACCTGCCTCTGCCTCCCAAGTGCTGGGATTAAAGGCATGGGTCACCACGCCCAGCATGGAGCTCCTGACTCTTAGTGGGAATTTTATGACTTATTTTTATTTATGTGTGTGTCTGACACTTATGTGTAGGTGCCCAAGAAGGCCAGAAGACAGCATTCAACCCAGTGGAGTTAGAGTCATAGGTGGTTATGAGTCACCCAGGGTGTGTGCTGGGAACCGAACTCAAGACCTCTGGAAGAAAAGTACCCGCTCATACCCAGTGAGCCACCTCTCCAGCCCTCTTGATGTGTTTTTCACTTGATGGGTTAACAGCTGAGTCATACCAGCTAAATAAACACCCTCAGGCCCACCTGCTCACTTCCTTTGGACACATCCTTCTAACATATTTTGGAAACAGCGGTGTCACTGCCCTGTTAAAATTCTATCGAGCCTCCCCATCCTCTCCAGATCTAGCCCAGATACCCTATTAGGGTATCATGAACTACTAGCCTTGTTGACCTTCCAGTTTCATTTCCTCCATTCCTGTTGCTGCCCCTACACCCCGCCTATTATCTTGCCATTGTCTAGGAGAGGCTCTGTTGTCACTGGCCAATCCTCCTTTATTAACTGTGGCTTATTTTTCAGTTCTCCAGCATCACTTCCTTAACCCCAAGGCAGGGGCAGACCCTTAGTTTTTCTGACTTGCAGCTGTCTAGACTTCTCTTTAGCACTTGTCAACGTTGAACATTTCCATTTACCCGAGTTATTTCACCAATGCCTGCCTCTCCAAAGCTCTTTAGAGTGGGCTACCCTGTGCCTGGCAGACACAGAATGGATGACTCACTGACTGCAAGAAGGCAGAGCTCAGCCTGAGTGGGGGCTGTGGAGACCCTGGGGGAACCATCAAAGAGACGACCCCTCCCCCAACCCCCAGCCTCCACCCTGCAGCAGATTCCCAGGAAGGAACCAAGGGCATCCCTCTGCAGCCCAGCTGTCGCTGACGATAGAGGTGCCTGGGGAGAGACTCAGGGCAAAGAGCGCAGGGCATCGCTGCAGCGGGCTTCCAGCTGCAGCCTCGGTGCTGGCGGGCCTCAGTTTCCCCAGCAGTTCCCCGCGCGGTGCATCCGTAGACGGCCTTTGCAGCCCTGGGTCGCTCACCCGGCCGCCGCGCCCCGCGAGGGCGCTCCAGGCGCGTCCTCCGGAGCAGTCGCGCTCGGCCGGGGCCGCTCTAGCCGCCCGGCGGTGGCGCGGTGCATATCGGGAAGACGGAGGGCTGGGGCGGCCTGCGGCGGCGGTGACGGTAGCCATGGTGGGCGGCGAGGCGGCCGCCGCGGTGGAGAAGCTGGTTTCCGGGGTGCGGCAGGCCGCGGACTTCGCCGAGCAGTTCCGCTCCTACTCGGAGAGCGAGAAGCAATGGAAAGCACGCATGGAATTCATCCTGCGCCACCTGCCCGACTACCGCGACCCTCCCGACGGCGGCGGCCGCCTGGACCAGCTGCTGTCCCTCTCCATGGTCTGGGCCAACCACCTCTTCCTGGGTTGCAGGTGCGGACCCCTGCTGGCCGGCTGACCCTCGGCCTGGCCAAACCCGTGCCCCAGACCGACTCAGCCCAGGACCGCGCTGCCTCCGTCCCATCTTAGCATCCCCTGGGGAGGACGCATCGCTTCTCCGAGCCTCGGCTTCCTCCTTTGGTAAATGGGTGGTTGTGATGACTGCAGCGATTAAAGAATGAAGTACACGGGCTGGAGGGCGGTTGTGTTGCTCTTGTGATTTGCATCACTGTTTATTAGCTCAGACATCGCCTTTGCAGAGTGCTTTGAAAGTCCATTAGCTCCTGTCATCCGGATGGCAAAAGTGCAGAGATAGAAACCCTGCCGCCCGCCCGGCCGCCAGCCCTCCCTCCCCAGGTGAAGAAACCAGCAAGAGGAAGTAACAGATCTAGGGCTTTGCAGCTCCTGGCACGCTTGGTTGGTAGAGTTCGCCGCTGTGGCAGGATGTGATCTTTGGCCGTGGGCTTTCCCTCCCCACTCCCCAGCCTGCCGGCTCCTGAGACCTCTTTGCTTTCCCTTTTATGAAAGTAGTAGATGCTTTACTTCTGAGGTCTCAAAGGCACCAGCATGCTGTCCACTGCACCAAAAGGGTAAGAGGCTGCCTTTGATGCTGCTCAAAAGATACCCTCCTTACCAGGAAAAAGCACCAGGTTTTGCCACACATCTCCATATGCTGTTTGTAAAGTTTTTTATTTCTTTAGGCAAGCCGGGCATGGTGGTACATGCCTTTAACCCTAGCATTCAGGAACCAAAGGCAGGCGAATCTCTGTGACCATGTCTACTTAGTGGGTTTTAGGCCAGGCAGTCTCCCCTTATTTTCTTCTTTTTTAATATTTTATTTATTATTTTTATTTTATGTGAATGAGTGTATTGCCTGATGTATGTGAGTGCACCTGTGTCATGAAATGCTGTGGAGGTCAGAAGAGGGCTTCGGACTACCCTGGAACTCAAGGACAGTTCATAGCCACCATGTGGGTGCTGGGAATCGAACCCGGGTCCTCTGCTAGAGCAGTCATTGCTCTTAACCGCTGAGCCATCTCTCCAGCCCCATCCCCTTATTTTTTATTTATTTTTTTGGTCTTTTTGAGACAGGGTCTCCATGTAGCCCCAACTGACCTAGAACTCACTATGTAGACCAGGTTGGCTTTGAACTCACAGAGATCTGCCTGCCTCTGCCCCCGAGTACTGGGATTAAAGGTGTGGGCCACCATGCCCAGCTTGGCAGTCACCCTTTATAACTGCCCTCCAACTCTTTATGTAGCTCAGGCAGGCCTTGAACCCCATCTTTCCAACTCAGAGGTACTGAAATTAGAGGCATGGGTACCTATGAAGTTGTGCTAGGAGAAGAGGATTACCAGTCACTGCTGGCTTCTCTAACTGGTCACATGGCCCCTCCAGACCAAACCACCTGGTTTGCTTTTGGTTTTGGTTTAGGGATGGTTTAGGGATGGAACCTAAACCAAAGTAAGTTCCCTACCACTGAGATACACTCCCCAGCATGGAAGCTTCTTCATTTGTTTCAGATATTGGGATATTTATTAGAACAGGATGTGGGGAGAGCTGTGCCAGACAGACCCATCCCCTCACATATACCCATCCTCCCTTCTGCCTTCTAGGTGCCCCTGGAAAGTCTTAGTTTATAGGATCCAAGCTTAGGCAAATGACTAAGAATTGAACAAATGATTATTTTCATCAGACCAATATCCTGCCTGTTTTACAAACCATCAGAACTATTTTGGGCCCTCGTACCACACCCCTGTCCTGCCCTTCTCATTTTGTAATTCTTGAAACCTCTGCTGCCTTGGCATTCATTCTTCAAGCCTTTTTCTGTGCTCTAAACAGGAAGAACTATTTGTTAACCTTGTGCTGAACAAGTACAGCTTTCCCCTGCGATTTCACATCAGTCCTTGTAGAACTCCATGTATCTGTAGTCCAAGAACTGAGAGGGCTGAGGCAGGAGCATCGCTTAATCCTAGGAGTTCTGGATTGAGCTAGGCGGCACAGCATGACCTCACTGATTAGCAAACGATTCTTTATTCTTAGAGTTGAGTTTATGGTTCAATAACTTATGCTTTCTTATTAGCCTGTAATGACTCATGCTTCTTCCCTGGTTTTTACTTTACTGCTTTTTATTGTGCAGTTACAATAAAGACCTTCTAGACAAAGTGATGGAGATGGCTGATGGGATTGAAGTGGAAGATCTGCCACAGTTCACCAGCAGAAGTGAATTAATGAAAAAGGTAAACAGGACTTCCAAGTGTATTTGGTGAAACAATGTAAAAGTAAAGGTCCCAGCTTTGATGCTATATTATTATTACTATTATTTTGTTCCTGGCAGGGTCTCTCTGTAGCCCCAACTGGCTTGGAACTGGCCATGCAGACCAGGCTGGCCTTGAATTCACAGAGATGCACCTACCTGTGCCCGTGGAGTGCTGGGATTAAAGACTTGTACCACCATGCCCAGCTGTCATACTGGTTTTGAGTGTTCTCGTTCACTGCTCCACAGGTCTCATCCCTTTCATTTTCATTTCCTCACAGCTGATAGAAACCTTTTCCTAACTAGATAACAAGTCAGCATGATAAATTATGCATTGTTGGAGTAACACATGAGCTCAATTTCTTCAGTTTGTCTAGGAATAACCCCCGACACACACACACACACACACACACATGGTGCTGGGGATCGAGCCCAGGTCCTCAATAATGCTACACGAGCTATGGAAATCAGTATTGAGGTTGTTCAGAAATCATGGTCTACCTGTGTTACTCCCAACAAATCTAAGTGAGCATACCACGGAGATTTTACATACCCCTGTGTACTGCTGCACTGTTCACACAAGCCAAGGTACAGAACCAGCCTAGGTGTCCATCCACAGATGAGTGCTAATGAATATTGTGGTACATTTACACAATGGAATTTTATTCATCTCTGAAGGAAAGTGAAATTTGATGTTAATAGGAAAATGGGTGGAGCTAGAGAGAAATCATGTTGAACAAAATAAACTAGAACTCAGAAAGACAAATAGCATGTTTTCTCTCAAATGTGAAATGTAGATTTGTGTGTGTGTGTGTGTGTGTGTGTTTCTGTGTGTCGGACGTGGATGTAGAAAAGGAATGTGAGCAGGGAAGGTGAGGGGTAAGAGGGTGATAGAATGTATGTTATGAAAGCAGAAGGGGCAGTTTGAGGGGAGGAAAGGGACCAGCAACAGAAGAGGGGTAGGGACAGAGAGTAGGGGTGAATAAGGACGAAGTATAATCCTTGGGAGCCTGAGGCAGGAGGATGGCCACCTGTTTGAGGCTAGCCAGGGCTAGACAATGAGACCCTATTTCCAAACAGGCCAGGTTTGGTGGCACACGCCTTTAATCTCACTACTCTGCTAGGTGGATATCTGTGAATTTGAGGCCAGCCTGATCTACATAGCGTGTTCTAGGCCAGTTGAGGATACAAGGAGATCCTGTCTGAGAAAGAAAGAAAGAGAGAAAGAGAGAAAGAAAGAAAACAAAAACTTACCAAAAACAAATGAAAGAAAAATAACTTGTGACTTACATGTATGAAATGTCACAGTGATGCCCATTTCTTTGAATATTGACCAAAACCTTTTGTTAAATGCTAGATAAGATTACCACTGAGTTATACCCCAGCCCATAACACTATTTTAAGTTTAAAAAAATATTTCTTTGCTTTATTTTGCTTATTTAGTTTTGTGTTACTGGGGATTGAGCCTAGAGTTTTGCTCATGCTTGCAAGTGCGGTACCCCTGAGAATGTGCTCCCCCTCTCTGCCTCTCTTTTAATACAGGGTCTTGCTAAGTTGCCCAGGCTGACCTTGAGCTTAACCTTCAGCCCAGGCAGACCTTAGACTTGTAGACCTTCTGCCTCAGCCTCCAGAACAGCTAGGATTACAGACCTGTGTCACCTGGCCCAGCTGTTTTGCCTGTTTATTTATTATTTATTTATTTATTCATTCATTTAGTTTTGTTTTTTTTGAAACAGGATCTCACTATATAACCTTGACTGGCCTGGAACTCACTGGTCTCAAACTTGCTATGCTCCTCCTGCCTCTGCCTCTCAAGTGCTGAGACTACAGATGTGAGCTACCATACCTGGCTTGTTTTGTTTATTTTAAAGAAAGTCTTGGAGTGCTGCAGTTTCTCATTTGTTTGCTTAGAAGTACCTTGTGGTGGGGTACTTCACAGTGAATACCTCTGCCTCAGCAAATGAGGACCTGAGAAGACTTGTGTGGCCTCTCCAACTTCTTGATTGGAATGTGGCTGGGGTACTGTGTGGACACCACAGCTGTTCTCTGGCCTGCAGGACTTAGTCTGACCTGAGGCTGTAGCGTTCCACCCAGAGCTTTCCCCTAGAGTCTATATCTGGATCCTGAAGCTGGGACTAGGTCAGAAGGAACTTTAGAGGATGCCCTTGGGCTCCCTGCCACTCTCCCCGACATGCACTTTTTTCACATCCGTCTCTTCAGGCTGTAGAATTGCTCCCTTGTTCGTCCCCCTACCCCTTTGGGCTTGCTTTGGGAGGTATGGCACCTAAAAAGACCTCCTTTAATTAGTTCAAGGAGCTAATCAAATCCTCAGCTGCTGAGAAGGATCAGTCCCAAATTGGATTTCACTCAACTTGATTTCAGATGGTTAGAAAAGGGGGACGGGGCTGGGGGAGAGTCGTTCTTGTGGTTCAGTGATGAAGGGCCTGCCCATACGTTTAATTCCCAGCAAACACACCCAAGAGCCTGCCGTGCTGGGCACATTTGTGATCTTAGCACTTAGGAGGCAGAGGCAGGAGGATTGTTGCAAGTTTGAAGCTAGCCTGACCTACATAGTGAACTCCATTGAACACTACATTGTGAGACCCTGTCTCTGAAAACAGATGAAAAGTTTTCTTCAGTATTTCATCTAGACTTGGAATCAGAAATTCCAAGTTGGTGTTTGAAATGCTGTTTTGTTTTTAAATCGGCCCGTAATCAGGAGTGTTTTTAGCTTGGAAGACGTGTGAATATCTGGGCGTTGAGGATCCTCTAGGCAGGCCTTCTAGAATGTCCTAGAATGATGAAGCTCTGTCCAGCCAGAGAGGAGCTGGACATTGGCTGGCTGCCAGAGTGTACTCCTTGGGGCAGAGGCAGGCCAGGAATGGGACAGGCTTTCACTTCTCAACTGGTTGTGGTAGTCTCCTTGCCTTTTGTTCCTGGGAGGTTTTCTGGTCTCTCCCTCTCTCTTTTTCTCTCTCTTTGTTCTCTATTCCAGCTCTCTGTCGTGTGTGCCTTCTGAAAAGGAGCTGTGTGCTGCATGCTGTATGCTTTCTAGTTGTGCTGGGCTACTAGAGATCAGAAGCTTCACAACAGTTGGCTTCAGATCTCAGGAGGAGACTAAGGGGATTTGAGATGCCCCAGACATTATCCACAGACTGGTGTAAAGAATGTATACACTGGGAAGGAGCTACATGAATCATTAAGCATCATAAAGGGGTTTTGCACCTTACAAGTGTGTGTAGCCTTGCCCTGGGTGGTTTCCCGATACCACTGTTACACAGGCAGGGGGGCCGCGGATGTTAACTTGGCGTCTCTGAAAGCAGTCCTGCTGGGCGGAGAGGACAGTGAGAAGCTATAAGCCTCTACCTTTTGGGAGAATTATGTGTGTTACAAGTTCCTTCAAGTACAGCTAGCATTTTCATGGTAACCACATTCAATACTACTGATGGACACTGAAAATGAAATCCAGTTGCTCCTGGGATGCCAGGTACATAGAGGGGGCCTTGACTTTTGGCAGTTCAGACTTCTTGAGGACTATAGTTTAGTGGTAGAGTGCTTGCCTGCCATGCATGAGGTCCTCGCCTCCATCCCGAGTATTCACACACATAAACACATACACACACATACCACCAAATCCCAGTTTAAATAGGTGTGGTGGCTCGCACCTGATATCCTAGCACTCAGGAGGCTAAGGCAGGAGGATTGCTGTCAGTTAGAGGCCCCTGTGGGCTACAGAGTCTACAACAACAACAAGCCAGTAGGATGGGTCAGCAGGTAAAGGCACTTGCCACCAAACCCAACAACCTGGGTTCACTCCTCGGGACCCACATGGTAGAAGGGAGAGAGCCAACTCCTACAAGTTGCCCTCCCGTGCTGTGGCCTGCGCATGTACACACACAAGTAAATAGTTGTAAATTAAACAATAAGTACTCTGAGGTGGCTGGGGATGTGGCTCAGTGGTAGAGTGCTGGCCTGGGTTTGGTCCCTGGTACCCTGAAACAAAACAAACCCTTCTTGAGAACAAGTCATCTGTGTGCCGTGACTAGCTTATGTGCTATTAAAGGCCAACCTGAGAGTCCTCCAGAGAGAGCCCTGGGGTTTTCACAGTAGTTTTGTCCTTTGCAGTTTCAACCTGTCATAGAGGAAGCTGGCAAATACTAGGCAAGAGCCCAGAGGTCCTCATGCAGGCGTGCACCTGCAAACAGCTGCTGCCACACTCGCCAGAATTGCTCCTTCACTCTAAAAGTCTAGTTGGGTTTTAAAGTTAGCTAAGAAAGTGGAAATGAAGCGCCTGGGGGTGTTAGTGCCTCAATACCACACAGCGATGATGACAGACATAAGCTCTCTAGAGGAAGGTTTTGAAAATACATTTTGCTGTTCTGCAGCTTTGGGGGTAGGTACAACGCTGTGTCTGTCCAACTTTTTCGTCTTGAGGAGTGTGACAGGTAGTGTTTGTCAAACAAGTTGCTGTGTGCGCTATTCTGAAAGACGGAGACTCGGCACAAATATATTAACACCACACAGAGACGCCCGCCTGCAGCTTGTGTGCTTGTTGCAAAGGCAGCAACAGTGAGCAGCAGCTGACCCAGCAAGGGTGTCATTGCCACAGCTGTCACAGTCGATATTCCCAAGGGGAGCAGAGAGAGGAGTAAATGGCGAGGGAGCTGCTGTCATTGCCTTACGGAAGTTGTCGACCTTGTGAGTTGGTTCATCTCTCCTGGGAACATCAGTGTCCCAATAGAAGAGACAGTGGTACAAAAGGTGAGCACAGCTGAGACATAGAGAAACAGGTGTGCCTGCATTTCAGGAGGTCTCTTCTGTGTGTTCTCCCATCTTGGCACACTCTGAGGCATGTTCTCATGAAAACCAGAGCTGAATGTGAGTGCACATGCCTGACCTCCCAGTACTTGGGAAGTAGAGGCAGGAAGATCAGGAGCTCAAGGTCATCCTTGAGATCAGCCTGGGCTGCATGAAACCCTGTCTC